TTCGCCGTCAATACTATTGGAGTGGGACGAAGAAGCACGTTGGAGATTTTGTTAGTCGATGTCTCACATGTCAGCAGGTCAAGGCTGAACACCAGAGACTAGCAAGGTTGTTCCAACATTTAGAGGTCGCTGAGTGGAAGTGGGAGCACGGCGCGATGGATTTTGTGACCCACTTGCCATGGACATTGCGGGGGCATGATGCGGTGTGGGTGATAGTGGATCAGTTTACGAAGTCGGCACTTTTTTTGGCAGTACGGATGACCTTCACACTAGAGGATTTCTGTAGACTATATATACAGAAAATAGTCCAATTACATGGGGTGCCCGTATCTATAGTATCGGATCGGGACCTTAGATTCGACGCTCATTTTTGGGAGAATTTTCAACGGGCCATAGGGACGCAATTAATGATGAGTATCGCTTTTCATCCCTAGACGGACGGTCAGTCAGAGAGGACCATCCAGACTTTAGATGATATGTTGCAGGCATGCGTTATTGATCTCAAGGGTGGCTGGGAGGAGCACTTACCATTAGTAGAGTTCGCCTATAGCAACAGTTATCAGGCGAGTATACAGATGGTGCCCTATGAGGCACTTTATGAGAGGTCGTGTCGTTCTCTAATTTGTTGGACGGAGGTTGGAGAGAGACCCTCCACGGGTTCGAATTTGATTAGAGACATTTCGGAGAAGGTGGATTTGATACGAAAACGTCTTCTCACGGCTCAAAGCCGACAGAAAAGCTACGCCGATAGATGGCGGCGATCTTTGGAGTTCGAGGTCGGAGATCATGTTTTCTTGAAGGTGATGCTTAAGAGGGGAGTAGTCAGGTTCAAAAAATGAGAAAAGTTATCGCCGAGGTATATCAAGCCCTTCGAGGTACTTGAGAAGGTTGGTATAATTGTCTATCGGTTGGCATTATCGCCAAATCTATCTGGTGTTCACGCGTTGTTCCATGTTCCTATGTTCAGAAAGTACACTCCAGATCCTACACACGTGGTGGATTGGGGGTGAGCTAATGGTTGATACAGATGGGACATTCGAGGAGGGACCGGTGCGTATCATGGACAACTGAGAGTAGGTTTTGCGTGGCAAGACTGTGAGGCTGGTAAAGGTGTTGTGGTAGCACCGTGGGGTGGAGGAGGCGACATGGAAGCGTGAAGACACTATCCGAGCTACCTATCCGTTTCTGTTCGAGGATGGAGGTACATCTCTTATAGTCATAAAATATTTAATGACTTTTTGCATATGCATGTCGTTTTATGTGCATGTGGGTATAATTTCGAGGACGAAATTCCCTTAAGAGGGTGAGAATGTAAAACCCAGCAAAAAAAAATTATTATTATTATTATTAAAAATCTTAATTAAAGGGATAAAATAATAATTAATTATAAATATAAGGGTCAAAACACGTAAATTTCTAAACTATAAATTTATACTATATATATAAGTGTGGAAGACTTTAGTCTTCCACTTTTTCTTCCTCCAGCCAGCTGCCAAGTGAGTGAGTGAGTGAGAGAGAAAAAAGAGTTTTTTTTTCTTTATTTTCCTCATTTCTTCTTTTTCAGATCTACAAAGATTTGACCGTTTAATCGTTTCGGGCCAAGAATTAAAGTTGCTCTACTCAGCGAGAGCTACGCAACCGCACCAAATATTATATTTTTCTCTGAAAGAATATCAAAGACAATAATTTAGGCCTAAAGTTTGGGAAGTTAAATTAGACTTCCTTGGAGTTCCAGTACGTGGGCTCATGCTACGAGAGGTAGGGTTTCTCCTATTTAGATTTACTTTCAACCTAAAATATGACATATGAAATGGGTAGGCTATGAGTTTATATCACATGTTAGGTCTTGAATAATGTAACTAGTGGGTCAAATATATGATTTATAATTAACTTTATAATTAGAAAAATCCTATTATGATTAACTTGGTGTAAGTTAATGTTAGTGGTTTAAAACATGTTAATTGTACATTAGCATTATTTTATGTTTTAAATGACATATCAAGTTTAATGAAATTATTAGCTTGTTATGTGATTATGGAATAATATATACGTTAAATGATTATTTAGCATATAATTATTGTGGTGGACTTGTGCTTATGTTTATAAAATTGATAAACATGTTGCCATGTTGAAAATGTCTTTATATTGTATTCTTTTATGTAATGGACATTATAAATGGTACCAAAGGCAATTGCACATTGAAATGTCATTATGCATGAGTTACATTACATTCATGGGCATTGACATGGGTGGGAGTGTGTGCATGGGATGAAATCAATCACTACATAGGTGGTTGATTGTGGGTTTGGAAAAGTCGTACCAAGGTCTGACTGAGTCACACGAAAAATTAAATGGATAAACGTGTCGGGGATAGCAAGAAGGGCTAGATTCTCCCTCGGGTACAAAACTCGTTTACTTGGTTTATACACTTTCCGGCGATGAAATTTCATAAAAGTGTAACGGCCAAAATGAAGCCGCAGGTGGAATGTCTTGAAAATTCGTTGATGGTTGGTGTCTCATTGGTGTAATACCATAAATCATCTCCCTACAAAAACACAAGAAAATAAATTAATTAGTCATTGAATGTACATAACACTAATGACGGGGCTTGGAATGCCCGAATACATACGCATGACATTGCATGTGTTGTAAGAGCTCAAGATGGGGCTCGGTGTTGGTATTGTGTTCGTGGGTCTCATCTCATGGTATGACATGATTTATGACATTTGTTCATAATAGACATATTTAAATGATTGCATGAAATGATTGTTGTATGTGACATTTCATATGCATTTAGGTTGAGAGGTATTATCTATAGGAGTTACCCTATTGAGCGTTGGCTCACCCTTTATGGGAATATTTTTCAAATATTGCACAAGTGTCCACCGAAGGTGAGGCCATGGGCCAGCTTTGATGACAGAGCCGGTCTGTGGCTCTTCTTTTGACATCGTAGTCCCTTGTTTATAATTATTTTTGGCCTTGTGTAATTTTTGTAACAAAAACTTGTTTATATTTAAAAGGCATGTATAATGGACTATTTGAGACATTTATTCTTTTATGAATGAATGTACATACGTAATGATGATGATTATGGTAGTATTCAATACTATACAATTGTGAATGGATGGATAAACCCGATGTGTCAATATTGTACAAGTTGCGTTTTTGGTAGCGCTCTTCGTACAAAGGAGACTCTGCCTAAATTTTGTTAAATTATGGATCTTGGTAAATGAGACATAACGATATAGTATCGAATTACATGGTATCCACGGATATTCTGCGGGTTGATAGGTGATCAATCGGGTAATTACAGACACAAGGATTTTGGGGTGTCACATTATATTGTACCGAAAAAATTCGTATTAAAAAAGTATTTTTGTGAATATATGTGATAAGTTAGACAATGAAACCCTACTTATGAAGGCTTTCAGATTATTTGTTCTTTTTTATTTTGTTTAGATTTTGCATTTATACTTATTATTTTTTTTCTTGTTCGATTTTTGTGTCTGTACTTTATGCCTTTTTTTTTCATGTTCGATTTTGTGTTTTGTAGTTTTGATTGTTCTTTTAATCTTTACTTAGTTTTTTTCCTTCTTGTTTTTGTTTGCTTCTTTATTTCTTTTTTTTCTTTGTTTCATTTTTTTCTTTTTAAAGGGGGTGTATATAGCTTGGGATAAGCTTATCTAGTATCGGGGTGAATATAGAAGGGGTGAACTTAGTAGCTTGATAAGTAAAAATTAAATGGGGTGGGAATAGTCCCACCATTTTGTTAGAAAATTTGCACAAAATTTTCAAACCTGTGAGAAACAAAAATAGAGAAAACACACAACGAAGAAAAAAAAAATCACACGCACAAGACTGTATTTACGTGGTTCGGCAATTTAACTAAGCCTAAAAAAAATTTATTAAAAATTAAGCAAAATTATTTTGGATTGAGTTATCATCCGAATCAACACAAATTAAACTCCACAAAAGTCCAACAACCTTTTGTGTAAATAAGACTAGCTCTACAATTTAGGTAATAAGGATTAGGTTCTCTCGAATAGTGGATAGCTAGGCCATCGTGGAGGTTTTGAGCAACCAATAAGAAAATTTGTCTATTTTAAAGGTGCATATTATAAACATGTAACATTAAATGGACTAATTAGAAAGTAAACTCAAAATTGAGTAGATTTAGCTAAAAAATATGTGTATCATTCTATTCAAGTCCGGATTCTAAACCCGAAAAGAAGGTATATATTCCTTTAAATACTCAACAAGCTTAAGTCAAAAAGTCAACACCTTTTTCCGTGTTAGTTTTGCTTAACTTGAGGACTCTTACTCGCTTAAACACACCAGAATGCCGATGATAAGTCAAACCTCGCCGATGTAGAGAGAAAGGTCCACCCAATTCATCATAAGTTCATAACAATCAACTCTTTCTCACCATAATTAAGGTACCAAATTTTTTTTCCCGTAGTGTATATTAGTAAGAGATTCATTTACTTACGTATAATATTATTTATACGTACAAATTTGACTTAATTTTTTGAATATAATAATATGATTGTTGACATAATTTAATAATATTATTATAGCGGTAAGTTTTAAACTTTTTTATATTGGTGTTACTGCACTAGACATGCATTTAAATCAATAAATTAAGTCAAATTTGTGAATATAAAAAATATTATTTTTTATCTATCATTAAAAAAAGTTTTAAAAAAAATGTGGTGGAGGATTGGTTTGTCCTAAAAATAAATAAATTAAATTAGTATCAAACACATATGAATATGTAATTCCATTCCATGACGAATGATGCAATTGAATTGGAATACACGCAACACAAATCTCAGAGTACCAGCGACGTGTAAGAAAAGAGTAAAAAAAAGTAAAAGCCATTAGCTATTCTGGTGTAAAACTTTAGTGAGGGGCAGTTATGTAGTTAATGGATAAATTGGAGGGTATTTATTTGTCTGTCAAACTTTGAAGATCAACGGAAATCTTCGGGAGACTTTCATTTCCGCGGAAGAAATTTCTGATTTATTGCTCAGAAGACCAAACGGTTACTCTATCTCTCTCTCTCTCTCCCTCCTCTTGAAACTTCGAACCTGAACCGAGACCCTCCGAACAAAGGTATGAAAAACACCCACTGATTTGATTATAAAGATGGGTTTCTTCCATACTATGCTTTCTTTTTCTCCTTTTTTTAGGGTATGAAAGAGGTTGTTCGGGTTCATATATTTACTCTATTTGCTCTGTCATGTCTATCTCTGTAGATATTTGCTTGAATTAATGTAAAATTAATGATTGACTTTGTGGTTTATTTGGTTATTGATGTCTTGGGAAGATGGTTTTATGTATTACGTCAAAGGTAGGATTTTTATATATTTTTGTCCAATTTTTATTTTGCATTTGAAAATGAAACGCTGAATAGTTAGGATTAAAGTTTTGTTGAGTCGTTGAATAGTAGTTGTAGTTATCTCAACATGAAATGCTCATCTGTTTTACCATAAAGTAATTCTGTTTCTGAGGCCGATTTTTTTAATGTAAAATGCATTGATTGGTTTTTTGCGACTCTTTGTTGCTCTTATGCTCAATTTTGTCTCAAGCTGTGATTGAAGCGACGTTGATTGTGTATTAAATTTGTATAGGTTAAGCTGAAATTCCAACTCTTTTGTAAGTTGAACTTCGAGGTGGTTTTTCTATTGGCAAGTAACTTTTTGCCTTGCAAAAGAGGTATCCCCTTTATGGTTGATGAGGATGCAAGTGATTTTCCATTTTGTAAGATAATATGTTTCTATGTTTCTGTATTTGTGGTTTTTTCTAAGGTCAAAAAATTGTTTGTGGTTTCTATTGCTTCGACTTCAGCATAGCATATTTTATGGATTCTGACTTTGGGAATCATCGTTGTATCTTCTTCTGATTTCAAGACGGGTGTAAAGAACTTTCCATTCATTGGATGATTTTGGGGAGTTGAAAATAAGATCAGGGAATTGATTTATCATTGTGCTTTCAGGTTTAAATTCATTTATCTATTGTACTTAATGATATCTTTTTGGATCTAGTGGGACTTGATGAAATTCAAACCCATAGGCCCATTTTCATTTGCAAAACAAAAGATAACCCCACAAGAATTGCACAAGTGAAAGAGTAATAGAGTTTTTTTTCCCTCCTGTAAGTCCTTCTAGTCTTTTTTATTATTTGAAAGCTGTGACTTATAGCTGGTGACAGCTCCAGGTGTGGAAACAACTCTGCTTCATCTTCCTCATCCTCATCATATCCAATTTACACTCCTTTTGAATTTCTCCTTTCAAATTGCGGAATTCTTTTTTGAGTGTTCTTTCTCTTTCATGTCATGAAGTCCCTCTGCTGGTGTGACGAATAAAGCATATATTGTCCTTCATCTTGATGTAAAAAGCAAGGCTGGGGCATCAAACAAAGGGAAAATTTATATCTGCCTTCTGTTGTTATAAGATTTATTGAAATATGTCCCTAACAACCCTTGAATAGCGTGTTATATTAAGTTTTGTTGGATGTCTTGCCAATATCTTGTCAATTTTCTTCCAAGTAGTTATCCATAAATGTAGAGTTGTCCTATCATGATGCACATTTGGAGAAAAGCATAGGATCGCCAAGAGTTGAACTCTGGCTTCAAGTACAAATTTCTCTCCGCTCGTCTTATAGATGCGGCAGCCAAGTTTCAATATGAATGCCGTTGATGGTCCCCAAATACTTCTCAATGATGTTTAATTATTTCTCCTTCCATATCCCAAGTCCTGATCGTTCCCCTCCAATCAGGCTATGCTGCACTTCCAAAATTTGTGCAGACTAATGTGGTCATCATTTCTTTTCTTGCGATCATTAGTTGTTCTTGATTTACTAATTTTCCTCTGATGTTTCTTGTCTATCTCGCCTATTTTCAAAATTGAAGTTGCATTGATCATGCCTTGTCTTCTGCAGATTACATTGGCACTGTAATCTCTTCCATTTCCCACAGCAATGGTGGTTAGCGAAGATAAGGCTGCTAAATTGAGCTTAACCTACTTTTTCACTTATCTAGCTGCTTATTGAGAGGTCATAGATATCAATGTGATAATCAAGATTCTCTGTGTGACACTGTGCCACCTTTTGACAAATGAGTAGTTCAGCAAATAGAAGTTAAATCATACTGCTGATCGCCATTGTTACTCCTACATTTAGATATCTGAGCTAGACATATTGGCAAGTCGCAAGTTATTCTGAGATGCAAACATCTCAGGAACACCAAAGTTCAAGCAGCATCCAAAGGTCATACGACCTGCCCATACAGCAGATTGAACCGTACAGCTTGTCTCATTTCCAAAATTCAACCAACAATGTTAGCTCCGATAGTAGCAACCAAGGAGCCCATGTTTCTTTTCAGGCTTACGATGAACAGTTTTTCACCCTGGATTCATCCCCAGCAACAGATTACCTTGTCTACAATTCACCATCTGCTATAAGTATCTCTTCCAGCAGGAGTCCCTTTTCACCACAATGTTCCCAGTCATACATCTCAGATCTGCATCACTCCCCTGAGAATACCTATGGATCCCCATTAAGTGGGTCTTCCGTTGTTGATAGCAGTGAACTGCAACATGTACTGCGAGAATTGGAAATTAAGTTGCTGGGGCCTGAATCTGATAATGACATGAGCAACTGCTCCATCACCAGTATGGCCGTCCCACAATCCTCTTCCTTGGCAAGGTCAAATCGAATCTTGGAGATGGCCGCCAACTTAGACTTGAAACATGTGCTCATTGCCTGTGCAGAAGCCGTATCAGAGGCTGATATGACAACTGCAGCAGGTTTGATGGATGTGTTAGACCATAGGGTGTCAGTCTCGGGGGATCCTGTCCAGCGGTTGGGTGCATACATGTTGGAAGGGCTTAGAGCAAGGCTGTTGTCCTCCGGGAGCATTATCTACAAAAAATTGAAGTGCCAAGAACCAACAAGCTCAGAACTGATGTCTTATATGGGTATCCTTTATCAGATCTGCCCATACTTCAAGTTCGCCTACATTTCTGCAAATGTTGTGATTGGGGAAGCCATGGCAAATGAAACAAGAATCCACATCATCGATTTTCAGATTGCACAGGGCAGCCAGTGGATGTCCCTTATCCAGGTTCTTGCACGTCGGCCTGGTGGACCCCCACTCATCCGTATCACTGGTGTTGATGATTCCCAATCAGCTCATGCTCGAGGTGGTGGACTCCACCTTGTGGGGCAGAGGCTAGCAAAGGTCGCTGAGTCATGCAGAGTGCCGTTTGAATTTCATGGTGCAGCCATGTCTGGTTGTGAGGTTGAACTAGAGAACCTTGGGGTTCGTCATGGAGAAGCCCTGGCTGTCAACTTTCCTTACATGCTGCACCACATGCCGGATGAGAGTGTGAACACAATGAATCATCGAGACCGTCTTTTAAGACTGGTGAAGAGCTTGTCACCGAAGGTTGTGACCCTTGTTGAGCAAGAATCCAATACAAATACTGCTCCATTCTTTCCACGGTTCCGTGAGACACTGGATTATTATACAGCTATGCTTGAATCAATTGATGTGGCTCGCCCCAGGGATGACAAGCAACGGACTAGTGTAGAGATGCACTGTGTGGCACGCGACATCGTCAACATAATTGCATGTGAGGGGGCTGAGAGGGTGGAAAGGCACGAACTTTTTGGCAAGTGGAGATTACGACTAATTATGGCGGGCTTTACTCCATGCCCATTGAATTCTTCGGTTTGCGAGGCCATCAAGGATATGTTGAAGGAGCATCATCAAAATTTTAGACTGGCAGAGAAGGATGGAGCTCTTTATCTTGGCTGGAAGAACAGGGCTTTAGTAACTTCTTCTGCATGGAGATGAAACAAACTTACTGCAGCACACAATACTGTAAATTTTTTCCTTTCATTGTTGATATCACTAGTTTTAGTTGAGTGGTGCTCTTGTTTGTACTTTTATAGCTGAGACAGGCTCTCTTCCACTATACCTGAACTTGTACAATTTGTACAAGCCTACGAAATCAGAGTTGTATCGAGTTATATTTGTGTCATTTTGAGCTTTGGCTTAACATGTTCACGAGGTTATATCCGGTTTTCACGGTTGCATTCAGACGGACAAGAAGTTCTGTTTCAAATTCATGCCACAGAATATCTTCCACACTTATTTATGATTCAATATAAGCCTGAACCAGGGGTAAGATAAGCTCAAGGTTTAGCCAAAAACATATTGTTTTAAGCATGATTGATAAGCATAGTCCTAGTACAACACTACGAGCGACAATGTTTGAATCCTCTGGACTAGAAATGGTTGAGTAGTTTCCCAGTTCTAGGATTAAGGCTGAATCTCCAATTCCAAGGAGCTTCTGACGAGTCGAATCTAAATAATTTGATTTTTATTCGAGGAAACACAAAATATATCGGATTGATCAAGTAAAATAAGAGTAATGTCACTTAAAACTAAATTAACAGTGAACCTTACTATTAGTTACGGCCCACCGTAAATTTAATGACTATAATGTATTAGTTCAGTATAAATTAGGTCGAATTAATATTTTTTTTTGTATAATAAATGACTAATAAATCACATTAAAATTCCAAAACTAATAAAATTTATCAAGATACATTAACATCAACGGTAATATTATACTAACCAAAATTTAAGATTAAATCAAAAGCTCAAATGACATAACACCTAACTTGAGCTTTTTTATGTGGTACTATGTCATTTGGCCCCCAATAAAGACTTCAAATAATCAAATGTCGTGTCATTTGAACTCTTAATTTAATCCCAAAATTTAGTTGGCATAAAATTCCTCTAAAATCAATTCCACCCCTTAATTACGCTCCTAAACTGACCTCTCCTGTATGAGGTGGCAACCACTGATTCGCCAGTTCCCCCACAACCCAAAACGGTCGATGCAATGTGGTTGGTCGTTGAAACACTATTAATTCGCAATGGGTTAATAATACTGAACGGTCACGGCTCTCGTCGACGTTACACTTGGCTCTCCCGCCAGCCTGCATAATCACAGGCAAAGTCCTCCCATTCTCTTACTTCACAAAAATCGTTGTGCGACTGTTCTTTTAGAGAAATTTACAATTTTTTCCACAATGGGTTAATGGGTCTGTTCTTAAATTTTCATGGTGATTGTAGTATTAATTTGGCTATGGATATTGGTTCAATAGCCAATGCACCATGGTTAAACGTCTTTGATCAAGCTTAGGATATCTTAAAATAGGGATTTTCGTGTTTTATAAAGGTTTGTTTAACTTAAAATATTATACAGTTTTGAGNTTTTAAGATTAAATCAAAAGCTCAAATGACATAACACCTAACTTGAGCTTTTTTATGTGGTACTATGTCATTTGACCCCCAATAAAGACTTCAAATAATCAAGTGTCATGTCATTTGAACTCTTAATTTAATCCCAAAATTTAGTCGGCATAAAATTCCTCTAAAATCAATTCCACCCCTTAATTACGCTCCTAAACTGACCTCTCCTGTATGAGGTGGCAACCACTGATTCGCCAGTTCCCCCACAACCCAAAACGGTCGATGCAATGTGGTTGGTCGTTGAAACACTATTAATTCGCAATGGGTTAATAATACTGAACGGTCACGGCTCTCGTCGACGTTACACTTGGCTCTCCCGCCAGCCTGCATAATCACAGGCAAAGTCCTCCCATTCTCTTACTTCACAAAAATCGTTGTGCGACTGTTCTTTTAGAGAAATTTACAATTTTTTCCACAATGGGTTAATGGGTCTGTTCTTAAATTTTCATGGTGATTGTAGTATTAATTTGGCTATGGATATTGGTTCAATAGCCAATGCACCATGGTTAAACGTCTTTGATCAAGCTTAGGATATCTTAAAATAGGGATTTTCGTGTTTTATAAAGGTTTGTTTAACTTAAAATATTATACAGTTTTGAGTATGCTCTTGCTTTGTGTTATTCATCTTCACTCATGTGATCCTACTGCTCTGTATATTGTATTAGGCTTCCTTTTATAATGAAAAGCTTTTAGAAATGGAACAATTTATGTTACAACCTCGGGGGTATCTATGTTCATGTTTTGTCCCTTCAATTTCTGGTTTATTTCACAGTGTGACTGAACTTGGCTAAACTTTCAGTAATGTTGTTGTTGTATCAAAAAGCCATATATGAGTGCATTTTTGTTGAACTTCATGAGAGAAATGAAAATTAGGAGAACACAAACAAGTGTAATCCATTCTTCGCATCAAAATCCTGAGATGCTTTTATCTTGAAAGCAGAGTTGAAAAAGCTAAATCGGTTTATTGAATTGAGAATAAAAAAATAACTTTATCCTCATTAAGCATGCTAGATTGATCAATTTTAACAGACCCTGTAAATCCCCAAGTCTGATATGAAATATCCACTGCCAGAGTCCCCAACATTAATTATAGTGATGGCTAAAAGGGAATCTTTTCTAAAAAGGGGTGGTTGAAATTAGTGGCTGATTGGAAGCTGAACGATTTCTTTCAAAAGTGATAGAGCTGAGAGATTTCTTTGGAGAGACAATTATCATTCTATTGATTGTGTGAAATGAAAAAAATATATATATTTTCATCATTCTTCCGATGAATATTTTCGCCTCTTTTTTGTTATAACAATTTGTGCATCATGTATTACTTGTTAACGAATGCTTAGGCATTTCCTATTGTCTATTACTATTTTGTTTGGTTCTTAAGTTATAGATTTTGCAGTTTGTATGAAAATGTTACAATTGATCATTCCATGGGTGCAGATGAATTATCTGAAAGTGAAGTGAGATGGTGGGTGTTTATTCACAGTTGGCTCAAATGACAGCTGAAGACATATCAGAGGGACCAGAGTGGCGCACCGTGGAGAAGGAGCGAGAAAGAGAAAGACGCCGCATGCGTGACAGACAAAGAATACAATCCCTGAGCCTTGAAGAAAAAGAAAAACATCCGGCTAGACGCAGTAGAAACTACCAACTACGAAGACAAAGAGCAGGAAATGCCCAAATGGGATCTCAGCATGAACAAGCAAGTACTGCAACTAGATGTGAGCTGAGCCTAAGAAGTGAAAATCAAGCATTAATTGATGTTTCAGATATGAGTGTCGAATGTAATGGTTTAGAGCATGTTAGATTTAGCAGAGGACAAGAAAAACCAAAAGCACCAGGCGCCAGGTGCGAGGGTAAGTTTTTTATATATTCCCATAATAATAAAAACATTCTTCAGTATTAGTTTCTGTAAAAATTAGTTGCTAGAAAGTTATGCATAATCGACCACATGGATTTACTGTTTCTCTCTGGCTACATAAAACAGATGGAGAAACCAGAGTTCAAAGATCAGCTAAACTTCCTAAACGGTTACGTTTAAGTCAAATTAGACATCTTGCACGATTATTGAATACTCCTGTGGTTAAGCCTACTGATGGAAGTGAGCAAATTGGAACAGATGTTCTAGTGAAGGACAGTGCAAGTTCAACTACTAACTGTAAGTTACTTTAACTTGTTCTCTGGTGATCTTTGGCTGATTACAATTGAATGGTTTTAGTCTAAAACTTGAGATTTAGATGACTATAGAGACTATCATGTATATAGAGCCATGCATGGAGACCTTTTGTATTTTGCATCGCAAATTAGCAAGTTGGAAGTCTGATTCAGGTACGTCAAGGAGAAGTCTACGGTTAAACCATGTGAAAAGTCTTTCACGGGCATTAAGTTCTACCGTGGAAGACTGTGGATCAAAGCTATATAAGTCAAACAGAAGATATGACTAATAATAATTAATATTTTCAAGGTGGAAATATTAAAATTTATTCTTATAGGGCAAATTGTTAGTGCATGCTACATTTTATGTTTCCGTTGTAACATCTGATTGTACAGACTTGAATTCAGCGCCACAGTACCACAGCAAGGGGAGATCCATTCAATGAGCAGCAGTATGTGCACATAGGTATGATGTACGCGCTCATGCTGACTGTAATTGTAAGAAATTTGAACGTATTTGGACCAATATTTGATGCTTCTAATGCGTTAATTGTCTGATTTTATCCAAGACTTTCTCTTGTAGAGGTTCCGATGCTCTTTGTATTATATTACAGGATAAGAAGTTTTTCAGTCTATGAAGAGAAGACTTTATGGAACACATTTAGTGAATCAATGTTTACTGAAACATGTAAGTCATAAAAGTTTTGTTTGATTTTCCCTGCTTTTCCATCTACTGATGTTTCTATGCCAATAAAAGACTTAAATCGTATTATTTCTTAGTCTATTATGGCAGACTTCATCAACTCCTTAACTTTCTTCTTTTAATTCATCCAACTTTACGATCCTATTTTGTCATTTGATTTTTGTTTTTGCTGAATAAAAACTGAATTACAATCCATTCTTGATTGAAGGTAAGATTGATGCTTTTGTCATTCATAAACTGTGTCTCTCTTGTATTTTTGTGACAAATGCTATCATTTATGACAGATAAGAATTAAGATTGATGCTTTTGTCATTTATAAATTGTGTCTCTCTTGTATTTTCGTGACAAATGCTATCATGTATGACAGATAGGCCTAACTTTACGTATGGAGGATAGGATGTATACTGCTGGACAATTTTATTCTGTGGTTGAAACTAAAGGACATCAGATATCTTTTAGAAGCTGCTTGAATGGGAAAAATGTTGTTGAATTTACTTGTGCCCAATTTATGGAACTGGTATTCATAATCAATTGCACTCGTATTATTTGAATGACAGTATGAAGAAGAAATACTTAAATTTGTTGCTAGACTATGTACACTGAACAGAAGAATATTGCCTTGGGAAGAGGTAATTATTATGTAGTTTAATACAATAGAGGCAAACATTTGAGTTTCATTTCAAGAAAGAGTTATGGTTTATTACAACTGCTTGGAACCAATTGAAAACTACTTTGAAGAAAAGCTGTATTCACTATTCCTATAAACAATTAGACATGCTCAAGAGGCTGATATCAGTGTATATGGAAGGGAGAAAGAGCCATAGAACCCCGAAACTACGATAAATAAGAAATTATGTACCCAAAAAAAAAAGATAAATGAGAAATCCAGTTTGGGAACTTTAAGTTGCAACTGACTTGAAATTTGCGAAGTACTAGTTGTGGTTTGGTATTTTATAAGGATCTAACTTTTGTTTTCTCCTTTCATTTTCCTGTCCTTTGAAGCTCTTGGTTTATGCTCTGTTTGGGGATATGAAGATTGTTTTTACTGAACCCCTTTCAGTATAGAAACTCTTGTTGCTTAAGTACTTGCTACGTCAAAGGGAAACCTCAACAGGACCAGGTTTAGGTTGTGATTGGAGAGTGGATGCTAGCTGAGATTTAGTTTGTTCTTTCATCTAACTTCGAATATTTTAAACTCTTGTTGCTTAAGTACTTGCTTTTAAACTGTTGCTTTTTCATCTTTCCCAGCTGTTATGCTCTGTTCTTGCTTCTAGACCAGAACCAGAGCCGATTAGTAATTTTACATGATTTAATTATGTGATTAGTGCTTTTACTTTTACTGCTTCATAGCTGAAGATAAATATGCAAACTGCAGAAATGGAAAGAGCAGCCGAGAGATGAGATAAGTATTAGGAAGAGGCCTACAAGATTTCTGGTTTAGATGAGAGTGCAAAAAGCTTTATACTATATCCAAAATTTGTGTGTGTAGTCCTCGAGAAGTATAAATCTATGAAGACTTGATGTTGGATCACACAAGCAAATTTTGTAGCATTTCAATACAAACGTCCATTGATATCATGAATTAGAAAATTTTGTACAGTTCAATTTTGATTGCAGATTTTAGCTGTTTTCTTTAGTATGTGTTAGTGTGACTTTCTTTTATACATTCATTTGGTAACCAATGATGATGCTCTGCATCATAGTAGAGATGGTTGCCATTGCCTTTGTTTAATGGATCTGCTTAGTTTTCAAAACTGAGCGTCACTAGGAGGCATTGCTTTCTGCAATACCTTCAAAAATACTTATCTAGGTGTTTCCATTTCTCCAGCTTTGCTACCAATTCATGTTCTATTATTAGTGTAAAACCACCACCATTGCTGCCGCCATTACTGCCTCCATCAATACCACCGTTTCACTATAACCACCACCCCGCCACCAACCATATGACCAAACGATGTGAAATTACCAGACCATAAAATGGTTGACATGTTTTGAGAACAACCACAAAACAGGATAAATTTATTATACAGATAAAGACATATTTCCATTACAGAATAATTTGTTGGGGACACAAGGACATATTTTCATTACCATATCAGTATTCTACAATATCAGTATATGAGTGTGATGGCTGAATTGCTCGTATTGAGAACCATGCCAGTATGAACAGAGTGATTTCAAATCGACCAGGGTTCGAATTAGCAGCAAGAGCCAAATGTCTACTGTCAAACTGAAACCAAGGTTAATACTGGCAGCATTTCTTGCATCAGTTTGTGCTTCTACAAACTGCCCGGGACCAATATTGGCATTACCAATTTTGTTATCGGCATTTCAAATTGTCCACCTGATGAACTTGAGCTATTCAGGAATGGGTTAGTAGACAGTCTCTCAGTCTCTGGGGCCCATCAGAGCCATTAGCGTTTAGAGGATTACCATGCATATACGATCCTACTACTGATTGTGGCGGCAGTGGAGGTTTCTGAAGGTAGTATTGCTGCTGCTTCTGCTTAATGAGGGTCAATTATTATATTTGCATGTGAAGCAGCTGCATTTCATATCCAGTTTTCTTTTAAACAACCTAGCTAAGACGTTTTCCAAATTCTCGCTAATTGTATTTCGTGTCTTCAATCTTGCAGTTCTCAATGCATCTCATAATGTCTCAAACTGCAGAGATTTGTGCATCTATGTCCTCGAGCTGCAATGCAACATAGAATTAGGAAAGGATGGTGTTTAGTACAATTGACAGAGGGACAAATTCCGAGACAGCAAAAGCAGGAACGAATGTACCTACAACTGAAGTGCAATTTCTCCTGCCTGAGAATACCCCTGGCACCCTTGGTGTATACGGAGTGTAAGCGCATGCTGTTGGCAACCTTCTTGGTACACATCATGTGCCCTGTAGGATTTTGAATAAAATTTGTTAACCCAAAAAAAAAAAGAAGTTTGCATGAAGTCTGACCGAGTAATATATTCGAACAAAGCTGACTGAAAAAACAGAACATATATTCATGTATATATATAATCGACCTGTACTTGAGATCATAGTATACAAACTAACCAAAAACAGTACAACTTCACTAATTAATACCCTTATGAGTCAAGATTCAATGGAGTTGATGATGAAAGATATGGCCAATTTTTAAGTGAGAGTAATTGCAAAATATAGTACGACAGGAGGAATACCTCAAGTCTGGCCGACAACAATTTCTTCCTTGACTGGTAGATAATAAGGTACAGTGGTTTGCTCTAATATAACATTCGTAATCATGCATGATTTGCATCCAAACCAGCAACCAGTCTTTCCCTGTACTCCGATCCAACTTAAAATTTATTAGTCATAGGTAAAAATGTTCCAAACAAAAGTGATCATCAACACAATATTTTGAAATGCTTACACACGGAATTCGACTAAATCGGCCTCAAGACCATTCCCAATAACAACCACGCAGAGCATTTTTCGTAGAACACACATTGTTGAGCGAGCAATTCACGGCAAACAATGGCCAATGCAATGGTAAGCTCATGATTCCACTGATGCGCACTTCTAAACATTACAAATGAAAAGGCTCACTACTAAGTTGTGAGCATTGGCTTTTATATAACTGAAGTCTGGGTTCCTGCTAAAAAAGGAAAAACCGAGTATAAAGCTGGGCACACTGGCATAGCAACTCTTTGTGAACCTTAACAAAGTCGAAGGTCAAAAGTTTGCCTTTCTCAAGATCCAATGCTTCTTCATGGTTACTAAGCCCCAGTTTAATGAAGAATCTAACTCTACACATCACCCTCTTTAACAAAATTGTTGACCAAAATATACCATGTTACATCATTAGGTATGAAACCACCGGCTATGCCTCGATTTACTAGTACATAGGCATCATCAAACATGCCCGCTTTACAATGTGAACAGATCAAAGTGTTGTAAGTGATAGCATCGGGAGAAATTCCTTCAAGTTGTAGGTTGTCAAAGAGGTTATGAGCTTCTCGAAGATGCCCCAGCTTGCAGAGCCCATTTATGAGGCTGTTATGGGTGACTATGTCAGGTGTCAATCCTCGATGAATCATATCCCTCAAAAACTCGCACTTTATATCTTCCCAGTTCTAATCCGTTGATCAAAATATTGCATGATACAACATTGGGAGAAAGTCCTTTTCACATACATTTCTTCTAAGAGTCCCATTGCTTTCTCAACAACCCCATCTTTGCAGAGTGCCTTCATTAAGCCATTGTAAGTAATGTCATCAAGGTTACATCCTCTAAATACCATATCATCCACAAGCTTAAATGCCTCTTGGTTTGCACCTTTCCTGAGAAAAGCATGAATCAATGTCTTGTAAGTTACAGTGTTTGCAATGACACCCTCCAATAACATATCTCAAAACATTCCCAATGCCTCTTCCATCTGGTCTACTTTGCATAGTCCAAATATCAATGAATTAAAAGTGAATATATCAGGCTTACAACCTTTGCTCGGCATTTCACCAAATAATTCTAAGGCTTCATCCCATCCTTACATAGAGCACATATAAGGCAATTGTATCCCACTGTGTTTAGACTATGTCCCTTAGTTGACTTTTCATCGACAGCCTCACTGGCTTCCTTTAGTCGGCCTGCTTTGCAGAACCCATCAATTAAAATCGTTTTAATTGATCACATTGGGCTCTCTATCACAACTTCACGAGCTGAGGCCATACACCCCTTCTTGCAAAGACCTCGAATTAGTACGTTATATGTATAAACATCTGGGTCACAGCCAATGTTTGACATGCTCTCGTTTGGTACAGCTTTGGCTTCATCAAGCCGTCCATTTGTCACATAACCATAATACTGCATGATCATAATAAAAAGGGATTCTCTAAAAACTATCCCTTCTTCTTTCATCCGCAATACCAATCTATCTATAATCTTAACTCCCCGGCGGCCCCAAGTTTATCAATCAAAGTATACTGTATAATACACATTAAATGAATGGTAATATCCCTTATGGTTACCTGCCCACTGGAATACCTCCATGGATGTTGAGGGAGCTCAAGCAACTTATTGAGCTGAGATGGGGTAATCTTATTGAGTGATTTTTGGAGCTCTACGAGGCCATAAGGTTTAAGTAATTTTTTCCATTCAGTTTCAGATTTGGAGTCGGTGTCAGAGCAATTTCCCTTGGACTCGAGAGCAATATGTAAATCTAGAGACTTTGTACAAAGACTTGGAATTTGCACACAAATAGATCGAAAATTTGATCTTTGCAACATAACTCTGAATAGACCACTGATAAATTTCAGAAACTACCGAATGAGGAGTTCTGGTGAATTGGTAGAGCAAAATGACCCTGACCCGNCCGGCTATGCCTCGATTTACTAGTACATAGGCATCATCAAACATGCCCGCTTTACAATGTGAACAGATCAAAGTGTTGTAAGTGATAGCATCGGGAGAAATTCCTTCAAGTTGTAGGTTGTCAAAGAGGTTATGAGCTTCTCGAAGATGCCCCAGCTTGCAGAGCCCATTTATGAGGCTGTTATGGGTGACTATGTCAGGTGTCAATCCTCGATGAATCATATCCCTCAAAAACTCGCACTTTATATCTTCCCAGTTCTAATCCGTTGATCAAAATATTGCATGATACAACATTGGGAGAAAGTCCTTTTCACATACATTTCTTCTAAGAGTCCCATTGCTTTCTCAACAACCCCATCTTTGCAGAGTGCCTTCATTAAGCCATTGTAAGTAATGTCATCAAGGTTACATCCTCTAAATACCATATCATCCACAAGCTTAAATGCCTCTTGGTTTGCACCTTTCCTGAGAAAAGCATGAATCAATGTCTTGTAAGTTACAGTGTTTGCAATGACACCCTCCAATAACATATCTCAAAACATTCCCAATGCCTCTTCCATCTGGTCTACTTTGCATAGTCCAAATATCAATGAATTAAAAGTGAATATATCAGGCTTACAACCTTTGCTCGGCATTTCACCAAATAATTCTAAGGCTTCATCCCATCCTTACATAGAGCACATATAAGGCAATTGTATCCCACTGTGTTTAGACTATGTCCCTTAGTTGACTTTTCATCGACAGCCTCACTGGCTTCCTTTAGTCGGCCTGCTTTGCAGAACCCATCAATTAAAATCGTTTTAATTGATCACATTGGGCTCTCTATCACAACTTCACGAGCTGAGGCCATACACCCCTTCTTGCAAAGACCTCGAATTAGTACGTTATATGTATAAACATCTGGGTCACAGCCAATGTTTGACATGCTCTCGTTTGGTACAGCTTTGGCTTCATCAAGCCGTCCATTTGTCACATAACCATAATACTGCATGATCATAATAAAAAGGGATTCTCTAAAAACTATCCCTTCTTCTTTCATCCGCAATACCAATCTATCTATAATCTTAACTCCCCGGCGGCCCCAAGTTTATCAATCAAAGTATACTGTATAATACACATTAAATGAATGGTAATATCCCTTATGGTTACCTGCCCACTGGAATACCTCCATGGATGTTGAGGGAGCTCAAGCAACTTATTGAGCTGAGATGGGGTAATCTTATTGAGTGATTTTTGGAGCTCTACGAGGCCATAAGGTTTAAGTAATTTTTTCCATTCAGTTTCAGATTTGGAGTCGGTGTCAGAGCAATTTCCCTTGGACTCGAGAGCAATATGTAAATCTAGAGACTTTGTACAAAGACTTGGAATTTGCACACAAATAGATCGAAAATTTGATCTTTGCAACATAACTCTGAATAGACCACTGATAAATTTCAGAAACTACCGAATGAGGAGTTCTGGTGAATTGGTAGAGCAAAATGACCCTGACCCGTTTCAAATTGAGGGTTGCATTCAACAAGTTGAGACATACTTTTGTAGATATCAAGTACGAAGAAACTCAATCTCTGAAACTATGTGGATACACAAGTACAAGGTTAGACTCGGAGAGAGAGAGGACATGGATGGATGGAAGTGTTTGTTTAGAACTTGATGACCCCGATTATGTAATCAGGTTAAACAGATCTGTGATCCAAATAGGCGAGTTAATGTGTATACTCAAATGTGTATCTTTTATAAATAAATTTAGTCGAATTTGTGTTGTATTTAACTGGGTTCATATTGAATTTTGATCAATTTAGGAGACTAATCTGAAAAGTCCACCCTTTTCACACCCAAATCCGTTAATGGCTAAACTAAACCTGTCAACTCCAAAGAATTTATGCTTGCATCTGGACGACATATTTGTACAATGTAAAAATTAAAGCAAGACACTCAAAATTCCAACATATTCTCATTTATATGGTACTGATACCAACCAAGAAGAATCAAGCAACACTAACAACCAATGGACAAGAACAAAATCATTCCCATAACAGAATTCCAAAATGAACATCCTACAATGATATTCAAAGAAAAAACCAAATCCTTTATGGGCATGATTCTGGTTGCACGACAACAATGCAAACAAAACAAATCGATTTATGAGTACAACATAACTTAATTCAAACATAAGTCCCCCTTGACAATTGTATTTAGATGACAAAGACAGACTTTCTCATTCATGACATGGCCACACAAGAGGGAGGGAAGAAGAAGGGGGGGG